GCCATGGACATGGTGGGGCCTCTCAGCAGGACGACCCGGTCGGGGAAGAAATACATTCTGTGGGTGGTAGATTTTGCCACCCGCTACCCCGAGGCAGTGCCCTTAGCTTCCATTGAAGCAGACACCGTGGCAGATGCGCTCCTGACCATTTTCAGCCGAGTGGGGTTCCCCAAGGAAGTCTTGACAGACCAAGGCTCCAACTTCATGTCGGCCCTGCTCCGGTGCTTGTGGGAGAAATGTGGGGTCCGGCACGACTGGGCCTCAGCTTATCACCCCCAGTCCAATGGGCTGGTGGAGAGGTTTAATGGGACGCTAAAGATGATGCTGAAAACCCTTATGAACCAGCACCCGCAGGATTGGGACAAGTACTTACCTCACCTGCTGTTTGCGTACAGGGAGCTACCCCAGGAGTCTACCGGATTTTTGCCTTTCAAACTCTTATATGGAAGGAGGGTAAGGGACCCCCTGGACCTGATGAGAGACGAGTGGGAGGGGAAGGCCACTCCCGATAGAGAGTCAGTGGTGGAGTATGTCCTGATCTTCCGAGAGAGACTGGCTGAACTCATGGGCCTGGCCAGGGAGAATCTGGCCAGAGCCCAGAGGAAGCAGAAGGTCTGGTATGACCACACGGCACGGGCCCGCACCTACGCCACCGGGGATCAGGTGATGGTTCTCATCCCCGTGAGAAAGAACAAACTACAGGCCGCCTGGGAGGGCCCTTTCAAGGTCATCAAGCAGCTCAATGAGGTAAACTATGTGGTGGAGCTGTCGAACCGGGCGCACCTCCGCCGGGTGTACCATGTGAATATGATGAAGCCATATTATGCCAGGGGGAATGTGGTGTTGGCCGTGTGTGGACAGTGGGAGGAGCAGGGAGATGACCCTTTAGTAGATCTATTCCCTGGGACCAGAGCTGGTTCCCCCCTGGAAACAATTCCCCTCTCGGATCAGCTAACCCCTGCCCAGCAAGCTGAGGTCAGGGGGTGCTGCATCCGTACTGACAGCTGTTTTCCAGCCAGCCTGGACGCACTAATCTGACTGTCCACCGGGTGCAGACAGGGTCGCACCCACCGATAAGATGCTCCCCCTTCCGAGTCACAGGGAAAACTGCTCAGGACCTGGAAAGAGAGGTCCGGGACATGCTGGCTTTGGGGGTGATCCAGCCATCGGCCAGCCCTTGGGCCTCGCCGGTGGTGCTGGTCCCCAAAAAGGACGGGTCGGTCTGGTTCTGTGTGGACTATCGGAAGCTCAATGCCATCACTGTATCTGATGCCTACCCCATGCCCAGGCCGGACGAGCTCCTAGACAAGCTGGGAGGAGCTCGGTACCTCACCACCATGGACCTTACAAAGGGCTACTGGCAAGTGCCGCTGGATGCAGATGCCCGACTGAAATCGGCCTTTATCACCCCTCTGGGGCTCTATGAGTTCCTGACCCTGCCTTTCGGCCTCAAGGGAGCGCCGGCCACCTTCCAGCGCCTGGTGGACCAGCTCCTGAGGGGGATGGAGAGTTTTGCCGTGGCGTATATTGATGACATCTGTGTCTTTAGCCAGACCTGGGAGGACCACGTGTCCCAGGTTAGACAAGTGCTGGACCGACTCCAGGGGGCTGGGCTGACTGTAAAAGCGGAGAAGTGCAAGGTGGGGATGGCTGAAGTATCTTACCTGGGCCATCGGGTGGGGAGCGGCCGCCTAAAGCCGGAACCAGCCAAGGTGGAGGTGATCAGAGACTGGCCCGCTCCCCACACCAAAAAGCAGGTCCAAGCCTTTATTGGGATGGCAGGATACTACCGAAGATTTGTGCCCCACTTTAGCGCCATAGCCGCCCCCATCACTGAGCTATGCAAGAAGGGGAAGCCAGACAAGGTGGTCTGAACCGAGCAGTGCCAGGAGGCTTTCCGGGCGCTGAAGGAGGCTCTGGTCAGTGGCCCAGTTCTGGCAAACCCAGACTTTGACAAGGCCTTTGTGGTGTTCACCGATGCCTCCGACACGGGACTGGGGGCGGTGTTAATGCAGGAGGATGAAAAGGGGGAGAGACACCCCATCATGTACCTGAGCAAGAAGTTGCTACCCCGGGAGCAACACTATGCGGCCATCGAGAAGGAGTGCCTGGCCATGGTGTGGGCCCTCAAGAAACTAGGGCCCTATCTCTTTGGGCGACACTTCACCGTCTACACCGACCACTCTCCCCTGACCTGGCTGCACCAGATGAAAGGAGCCAACGCCAAACTCCTGAGATGGAGCCTGCTCCTGCAGGATTACGACATGGGCGTGGTCCACGTGAAGGGAAGTGCCAACCTGATAGCGGATGCGCTGTCCCGGAGAGGGGGCCCCGAACTTCCCCAGGTCACTGTGACCCCGCTCAGTTCAGTCTCGAAGGGGGGAGAGATGTGACAATGTGACTCAGCAGGGAGGGGGAAGTGTTGACCTGGGAATGTGCCCTGGGGATGGGAGACCTGAGAGCCTGTCACCTGAGCCAGGAGGGGGAGGTGACACCTCTGCCAGGAATGTGAACAGAGGCTGCAGCAGGGAACCTGCTGGGTGGGTTTTAGTTTCAGTTTGGGGCTGGGTGGAGGAACACAGGGAACCCCAGGGCTGGGGTCTAAGCTCCCTGCTCTCCCAGAAGGACTTGACTGAGGGGTCCTGGGTGTCCCCACAGCTCTGTTGTGGACTGTGTTCCTGTTGTCCAATAAACCTTCTGTTTTACTGGCTGGCTGAGAGTCTCAGTGAATCCCAGGAAGAGGGGTGCAGGGCCTGGACTCCCCACACCCCGTGACACCCTGGTGGCCCCGGAGAGCTGGCTAGCAGCAGTCACTGGTCACAGGGCTCGAGCCGTAGGCTGCAGAGACCTGACTCTGCGCTCTGGGGTTAAGGGTCCTGGACTCGTCCCTTCTAGGGCTCCCCACACAGGGCTCCACAGTTCGACTCTGCACGGCTGCCAGCCAAGGGGCTACTGCCAGCCAGGCGTCACCTCAGCCCAGGGGGGGTCACCACTGTCCGAGGGCATGGGGGCCTAGATGGAGGAAGGGACTCGCTCCGAGACACACAGGGAGTCTGTGACAGGGCCAGGGTAGAACCCAGGAGTCCTGGCTCCCAGCCCCCTGCTCTAACCACTACACCCCGCTCCCTCCCAATCGGATTCAGAACAGACGTGGCTCCCCAAGGCTCTGGATCTCCAGCTGAGTCCCCGATCTCGTGGGCACAGAATGGGAAGGGCAGGCCCATAACTGACCCATCTGCTTCACCAGCCACCCGCTCGCTAATTCCACTGCAGCTGGGTGAGGGAGGGAGGGGCCTGCCCGGGGGACACGAGGACAGCCTAGCATGGCCAGCCCCGAGCGCGGGAAGCCAGAGAGGCTGCCGGCGCAGGCAGGTGGTTAGAGCCGTTACTGGCTGCGCCGGAGCACAGCGCCCCGACCCCAAGCACGGCGGAGCCACAGGCCCCAGGGCTCCCCTCCAGGGGAGCCCTAACAACGCTCAGGCCAGACCCAGACCGTGCAGGGCCGGGAGCTTCCCCCACACCTGTGCCAGGCTTCAGCGCCGCTCCCCGCTCAGAGCCCAGCCCCGGGCCAGCTCCCCACACAGGGCACCAGCCCCATTTCAGCGCCGCTCCCTGCTCAGAGCCCAGCCCCAGGCCAGCTCCCCACACTGGGCACCAGCCCCATTTCAGCGCCGCTCCCTGCTCAGAGCCCAGCCCCGGGCCAGCTCCCCACACTGGGCACCGGCCCCATTTCAGCACCGCTCCCTGCTCAGAACCCAGCCCTGGGCCAGCTCCCCACACTGGACACCGGCCCCATTTCAGCGCAGCTCCCTGCTCAGATCCCAGCCCCGGGCCAGCTCCCCACACTGGGCACCGGCCCCATTTCAGCACCGCTCCCTGCTCAGAGCCCAGCCCCAGGGCCAGCTCCCCACACTGGGCACCAGCCCCATTTCAGCGCCGCTCCCTGCTCAGAACCCAGCCCCGGGCCAGCTCCCCACACTGGACACCGGCCCCATTTCAGCGCAGCTCCCTGCTCAGATCCCAGCCCCGGGCCAGCTCCCCACACTGGACACCGGCCCCATTTCAGCACCGCCAGGCCCAGCCCCCGGCCAGCCCCCACACTGGGCACCAGCCCCATTTCAGCGCCGCTCCCTCCTCAGAGCCCCCCCCACCCCCCCCACAGACAGCCCCATTCCCTGCTAGAGCCCAGCCCCGGGCCAGCTCCCCACACTGGGCACCGGCCCCATTTCAGCGCCGCTCCCTGCTCAGAGCCCAGCCCCGGGCCAGCTCCCCACACTGGGCACCAGCCCCATTTCAGCGCCGCTCCCTGCTCAGAGCCCAGCCCTGGGCCAGCTCCCCACACTGGACACTGGCCCCATTTCAGCGCAGCTCCCTGCCAGGGAGTGCCACGAGCTGGCACAGCATCTGCCCGTCTCCCCAGCCTCTGCAAGCCCCAGGCACCGGCACTGCAGGTTGTGCACGTTTCCGGGGTCAGGGAGACGCCGGCCGGGGTGCTGGATGACACCTCTCCCCGAGGCACTGGGCCAGGCAGGCAAGGGGCCTGCAAGCTGGAGGACGGGGCAAATGCATCATCCATGCAGCACAGAGCCCAGACCCACGGCCGTGTAGGTAACCCCAACGGGCTCGTCCCGGGCCCCCAGGCTGTCCTGCAGGCCCCATGGTGGGGACACTACTTCCCCGGTCTCCCCTCCTGCAGCTCAACCCCATACCATCCCTGATGGGCCCCGGGGATGCTGCTCCCAGGCAGATAAGGGGTTGCGGGGGATGCACTCCAGCCCAATGTCCCACCCCCAATGGGACACCCTAGATCTAGAGGGAGCGTGAGCGGACGGCGGAGAGGCCTGCCTATGGGGGATGGTGGCTCAGTGTTAAAACCCCCCAGCTTGGTGCTGCCCTGGCCCCGTGCCTGGCAGCACGGCACTGCCCACCCCAGGGTGCAAGGGGCTGGCAGTGCCGGGCCCAGGGGACACCCCGGCGAGCGCCCCAGGGGCTGGACTCACCACCTCGTCCGCTGTGAAATCGATGAAGCCTGGGAGGATCAGGAAGTCGCTGCAGAAAGAGAGGGGGAGAGCATTACATGAGGGCAGCCCTGTGCCCCACAGGGACCCCCCACCCCTGGAGCCTGGCACACGCACGGCCACAGCTGCGCAGAGAGGGCAGGCTGGGTCCCCGTAAGCCCCCCCCCCCGTGGCACGGGGCCGTGGCAGTCATCGCGGCCTGGCCCCAGGTGGCTTTGCAGGAGGGCAGGGGACTGGCGGGCAGGGAAAAGCTCCCATCCCATGTCTGCCTGCTCCTGTTAGAGCCGGCGCCATGCGTGGCCCAACCCCCCATCAGAGCCGGCACCCCACCCAGCCCAACCCCCCTGCCGCCCCCCCCGTCTGAGTCGGCCCCCGCCTGCTCCAACCCCTAGGGCTACTGGAAGACAAATCCTAGGAAAGGGCAGAGAAGAGAGCGGGGCCAGCGAGGGGGTGACTGCGTGGGCCGGGCTGGTACCAGGACCCTGCCCCCTTTCAGGCCAGCCCGAGGCCGGCACAAAGGCAGGGCGTAAGAGGGGCCAGGCCCCTGGGAAGCCAGCCAGCCGGGCTAGGAAGCCCTGAGCTGGCACAGCAGGACCGCTGCAAGCAGGCGGGATTACAGGCCCAGCTGAGCTGCTAATCCTGAGCTATTTGTGAACCGGGTGGGGCTCGGCGTCCGGCTCCCACAGCTGCTTGGAGCGGGCAAGGGGCCAGTGCGAACACCTGCTGGGCTAGCTCCCTGCAGGGGGCCTCTCCGAGCCGGGGTCAAGCATCCCCGCAGGGCTGCGTGGGCAAGCCTGGGGGGCATGGCCTGGAGCCCTCACCGCTACGGCGAGCTGCATTCATGGGCGCCAGCCACGGGGCAGGGATGCAAGGGCCATCGGGGGGGGGCACCGGGGGGGCCCATTGGGGTGCTGGGTGGGGAGGGAGCGGGGTCGACGGGGCGGGCGCCCTGCGGGCACCCTGTGCAGGGCACCACGACACACACGGGGCCGCCAGCCGGCCCACTGGGCATACGAGCTCGGGGAGGGGGCAGGCCCCCTGTCTGCAGCCTGTCCAGAATGGATGAAGCTCTGTCAGGGACATGCCACCCCATGGCTTGGAGGGAGCAGAGGCCCCCACATTGGCTAGGGGGGAGAGGACCTGGGCATGCCCCCCCCAGCCCCTTTGGAGGTCAACAGGGTGTTGCGCCTAGAGGCAGGGACCTGGGGGGGGAGCAGGGCTCCATCCAGCCCCCTTGAATTCCTCCTTCCCTGGCTACAGGAAGGCACCTGCTCCTCCCCGCTTGCCTGGCTCCCGCTCAGACGCGGCAGGAGGGCAGGCAGCAGCATCTCCTGCAAACAGCAAGGCCTGGGCAGAGCGGGGGGACCCACACCTCCCCAGCCCCCCGAAAACTAGGACCAGGCACCGCTCTAGCCACCCAGATCCCACCCAGGGGCTAGCGCCAGAGTCCAGCACCCTGCTCCCACCCCAGTGCACAGGGGTCCCTGGGGGCGTGGGGATCTCTCCACGTGGGCGAGGGTGCAGTGGGGGATCCCGCCAGGCAGGCCGTGCCACTGGGTCCTGGCAAGGCAGAGGCGCAGCAGCCCTCCCCCTCCCCCTGGAGATTCCCGGAGCCCGGACCAGACGGGGATTGTCTAGTCCAGTGGTTCTCAACCAGGGGTCCGGGGCCCCTCGGGGGCCGTGAGCAGGTTTCAGGGGGTCCACCAAGCGGGGCCAGAATTAGACTCGCAGGGGTCCAGGGCAGAAAGCAGAAGCCGCATTGCCTGGGGCCGAAGCCTGAGCAATGTAGCGTTGTGGGGGCCTCTGTGGTGGGGGGACCCCAGGCAACTGCCCTGCTTCCTACCCCGCAACACCGGCCCTGGCCTCTGTATGCAGAAAAGCAGCTGTTTTGGCACATGTGGGCCGTGGAGCTTTTCTTGCATGTTGGGGGGATGGAGGGTGGGCAACTCTCGATCTCGCCCTGAGTGGAGCGCAGGATCTGGTCCAAGAGGTAACTAGAACAGGACCGCTTGGAAATAGTGACCGTAATATAACAACATTTAACATCCCTGTGGTGGGCAGAACACCGCACCAGCCCAGCACGGTGGCATTTCATTTCAGAAAGGGGAACTATGCAAAAATGAGGAGTGTTAGTTAAACAGAAATTAAAAGGTACCGTGACTAGAGTGAACTCCCTGCACGCCGCATGGACACTTTTCAAAGAGACCATCATAGAGGCCCAACTTAAATGTATCCCCCAGATTAAAAAACACAGTAAAAGAACTAAAGAAGAGCCACCGCGGCTTAACAACCATGTAGAAGAAGCAATGAGAGATAAAAAGGCATCTTTTAAAAAGTGGAAGTCAAATCCTAGTAAGGTAAATAGAAAGGAGCATAAACACTGCCAAATTAAATGTAAAAATGTCGTAAGAGAAAGCCAAAAAGGAGTTTGAAGAACAGCTAGCCAAAAAACTCAAAAGGTAATTGTGACGAAGCGGGACTGTTCTTAATGTTTCCTCTGAATAGTGTAGGGGTGCCTCAGTTTCCCCTAGGCAGTTCTTAAGTATCTAGGGGGTGGGGTAAGGGTGTATGATCGTTGCAGAGCCCTAGAGGGCAGGTGTGTGCAGGGGTCTGGACACAGAGAATGGCCAACACCCCGTTTCCTGGCAACTGACGGCCTGGCCCTTTCCCCCTGCAAGGTGAGAGCTAAAGGGTTGGAGAACAAAGGAATCAGGTGACCTCCTGGACCGGGAAGGAACAAAGCCCAGGGGAGGAGGGGCGGGAGACAGTTTGAGTTTGGGACTGGCTGGAGACATAGAGTGAAGGGCAGCCATGGTTGTCTGGCTCACTGCTCCCCAAAATGGACCCGGCTGAGGGGTCCTGTTCTCTGCACCTGCAAGCTCTGTGTTAGACCATGTTCCTGTCGTCTAATAAACCTTCTGTTTTACTGGCTGGCTGAAAGTCACGTCTAACTGTGAATTTGGGGGGCAGGACCCTCTGGCTTCCCCAGGACCCCGCTTGGGTGGAGTTGCTGTGGGAAGCGCACGAAGGGGCAAAGAATGCTAAATGCTCCAAGGTCAAACCCAGAAAGGTAAAAGTTGTGTGAGCTGTGTGTCCTAAAAACAATCTGCTCACAGAAAGGAAACTTCCCCAAAGTCCTGACTGGCTTCGCAGGAAGCAGTTCCAAAGCATCGCCTGGAACTCCATGACAGTAATAACAAAATGTTTTTTAAGTACATCAGAAGCAGGAAACCTGCTAAACAACCAGTGGGGCCCCTGGACGATCGAGATACAAAAGGAGCACTTAAAGACGATAAAGTCATTGCAGAGAAACTAAATTAATTCTTTGCTTCAGTCTTCACGGCTGAGGATGTTAGGGAGATTCCCAAACCTGAGCCATCTTTTGTAGGTGACAAATCTGAGGAATTGTCACAGATTGAAGTGTCACTAGAGGAGGTGTTGGAATTAATTGAGAAACTGAACAGTATCGAGTCACCGGGCCCAGATGGCATTCGCCCAAGAGCTCTGAAAGAACTCAAATGTGAAATTGTGGAACTCTGAACTACGGTTTGTAACCTGTCCTTTAAACCAGCTTCTGTACCCAATGACTGGAAGATAGCTAATGTAACGCCAATATTTAAGAAGGGCTCTAGAGGTGATCCTGGCAACTACAGACCGGTAAGTCTAACGTCAGTACCGGGTGTGAGGATGTGACACAGCAGGGAGGGGAGAGTGTTGACCTGGGAATGTGCCCTGGGGATGGGAGACCTGAGAGCCTGTCACCTGAGCCAGGAGGGGGAGGGGGAGGTAACACCTCTGCCCAGGAATGTGAACAGAGGCTGCAGCAGGGAACCTGCGGGGTGAGTTTGGTTGGCAGTTTGGGGCTGGGGAGAGGAACACAGGGAACCCCAGGGCTGGGGTCTAAGCTCCCTGCTCCCCCAGAAGGACGTGATTGAGGGGTCCTGGGTGTACCCACAAGCTCTGTTTTGGACTGTGTTCCTGTTGTCCAATAAACCTTCTGTTTTACTGGCTGGCTGAGAGTCTCAGTGAATCCCAGGAAGAGGGGTGCAGGGCCTGGACTCCCCCACACTCCGCGACAGCGGGCAAATTAGTTGAAACAATAGTAAAGAATAAAATTGTCAGACATCTAGAAGAACATAAATTGTTGCACAAAAGTCAACATGGTTTCTGTAAAGGGAGATCATGTCTTACTAATCTATCAGAGTTCTTTGAGGAGGGGGGTCAACAAACATGTGGACAAGGGGGAGCCAGTGGACATTGTGTACTTAGATTTCCAGAAAGCCTTTGACAAGGTCCCTCACCAAAGGCTCTTATATAAATTAAGCTCTCATGGGATAAGGGGGAAGATCCTTTCATGGATTGAGACCTGGTTAAAAGACAGGGAACAAAGGGTAGGAATAAATGGTAAATTTTCAGAATGGAGAGGGGTAACTAGTGGTGTTCCCCAAGGGTCAGTCCTAGGACCAATCCTATTCAACTTATTCATAAATGATCTGGAGAAAGGGGTAAACACTGAGGTGGCAAAGTTTGCAGATGATACTAAACTACTCAAGATAGTTAAGACCAAAGCAGACTGTGAAAAACTTCAAAAAGATCTCACAAAACTAAGTGATTGGGCAACAAAATGGCAAATGAAATTTAATGGGGATAAATGTAAAGTCATGCACATTGGGAAAAATAACCCCAACTGTACATACAATATGACGGGGGGCTAATTTAGCCACAACTAATCAGGAGAAAGATCTTGGAGTCATCGTGGATAGTTCTCTGAAGACGTCCACGCAGTGTGCAGCGGCAGTCAAAAAAGCAAACGGGATGTTAGGAATCATTAAAAAAGGGACAGAGAATAAGACGGAGAATATCTTATTGCCCTTATATAAAATCTATGGTACGCTCACATCTTGAATACTGCATACAGATGGGGTCCCCTCATCCCCAAAAAGATAGACTGGCATCAGAAAAGGTTCAGAGAAGGGCAACTAAAATGATTAGGGGTTTGGAACAGGTCCCTTCTGAGGAGAGATTAAAGAGGCTAGGACTTCTCAGCTTGGAAAAAAGGAGACTAAGGGGGGATAGGATAGAGGTCTATAAAATCATGAGTGGTGTGGAGAAAAGTGAGTAAGGGAAAGTTATTTACTTGTTCCCATAATATAAGAACTAGGGGCCCCCAAATGAAATTAATGGGCAGCAGGTTTAAAACAAATAAAAGGAAGTTCTTCTTCACTCAGCGCACAGTCAACCTGTGGAACTCCTTGCCTGAGGAGGTTGTGAAGGCTAGGACTATAACGGGGTTTAAAAGAGAACTGGATAATTTCATGGAGGTTAAGTCCATTAATGGCTATTGGCCAGGATGAGTAAGGAATGGTGTCCCTAGCCTCTGTTTGTCAGAGGGTGGAGAGGGATGGCAGGAGAGAGATCACTGTTAGGTTCCCTCCCTCTGGGGCACCTGGGATTGGCCACTGTCAGTAGACAGGATACCGGGCTGGATGGACCTTTGGTCTGACCCAGTCTGGCCGTTCTTATGTTCTTACATTCTCTCCGCTCCACCTGCCTCCTCCTGGACTTGTGGGCCCCAGGGCTGCAGCTGCAGTCACGCGAGAGGTACAATAACCCTCTGCTCCTGAGCGAGGGGGCTACGGAGAAGGGCCCCCCCTGGCCGAGCTGCACGTCACTCCCCCTGAGTCGTTCTGGAGGGTTGCCCAGCCCCACGCCATGCCGCAGCCCACCTGGGTCTGCCCACGAACACGACGCCCAAGCAGGGACCCCAGCAAGGGCGCAGGTCGGGGTGGGGAGACTTCGCCCCCCACCCCTGCTCAGAGTGACTGGCCCCCACTCCAGTAAACGGGGACATCCGTGCCATGAGCCCTCCCCCCCCGCCCGCACTCCCCCCAAACCCACAGCCCAGCCCCAGCGGCCGCGTGGGAATACGCTCTGCTCCACAGGCTCCCGAGGACCCGTCCCCCCCGCGCGGGCACACGGCCCCGTCACACTGGGCGCACTGCAGCAGTCACCAGCTGGACCCCGCTGACACCACGGCGGGGTCACTGCTTAGTGCCTGGAGCAGCCCCGGGCCAGGACGCGGGTGCAGCCCAGGAAAGAGACTGGCTTGGTCCTACCCTGAAACCAGCAAAGCGACTGTCCATGCCCCCCACCCCGAGGGACGTGCAGAGGAGTTACACTGTGCACACCCCAGCCGCCCAGAGCAGGGCGGGGCCTTCCCCCCGCTGCGCAGAGCCAGCCAGAGCCCGACTAGGATCCAGAGGGCCAGCCCGTCCATCCATAGGCCACTCACGTCAATGGGCAGCAAGGCTGGAGCACAGTGGCCGAGCGGGCAGAGCCAAGCCACGGAGGAGGCAATATGGCCCTGGGGCAGGGTAGGGAACAGGTGATTTCTCCTGTATCTCTGCCCTTCAGACTCACTCTCTGGGGTCTGAGGAACCCCCAACCCACCCTGCAAGCTGCTGTGCCCAGGTATCCAGTAGCCCGCTGCACCCACAACGAGCCCCACTGAGCTCAGCAGAGTCCCACACATGGAGCAGCTTGTTCATTCTCACACTCACAGGGGCGTCCTTCACCCACCATTGAAATGCAGCCACCTCTGGGGAGGAACGCAGCAGCTGTTGAATAGCCACTCAGCCAGCTGGGGCAGGAAGAGTTCTGGGTGGGACTGGAACCGGCCAAGGGAAAGGCAGCTCCCTGGGTCAGGGCTATGTGTAAAATGCAAATACGGGTCCAATTAGTGACACATTGCCACGGCCCCACGTAGCTATCCCGGGCGCTTCCGACCCCGGCAGGTGGGTCATGCCCATCTGCTCTGGGAGCTCCAACAGGGGCTGTGCCTTCCGCTCCCCACCCCCATCGCCCAGTCTGCACCTCCCTACAGACCAGGGGAGCTCAGCCCACAGACTGCTGAATCCCAGACGCTGGACATCTCTGCCGAGATTCTGTCTTCCTCCACCTAGAACCGCAGCTGCCTGGCTGCCCAGACCGCAGCGCCGCCTGCCCCACGGCCCCAGGTTCGGGGATGTGCTCCTGGACAGCAAGATCTTGAGATGCCAAACGCCAGGGAGAGCCACCCGTCTCCTCCGCCTGTAACAGGGTCCGCGGAGCCAGCAGCAAGGCAAAGCTTCCGGCGAAGAACGGGGACGCCCAACACCCGGCAACTCACAAGTTACGGTCCCCACAGCCCCAGAACTGGATGCTTGACTGCTGGTGCCGCTGTGCCCCTGCCCGCTCCTTGCATGGTTGTGCCATGGTACTTCCTTCACTTCCTTCCTGACCTTCGCAGAGGGCAGGAAACTCCGCCCCCGAAACCTGCACGCCAGCGACCAGGCATGCACGCCCCTAACTCCGCCCCCAGTGCGTGCCCTACTCGCCCACCCCATGGCGTGTGCAGGACCACAGAGCTTTCAGTTCCCACACGTATTTATACCATGGGATGCCCCCCGAACAAGCACAGAGACCAGGCAGCGGCCAGCCCCCCCGGCCCATTAGTGCCCACAGGCTCAGGGCCTAGGAAATCAGTCGTTTCCTGCAATTAATTCCCACCATGCCCCACTTGGAACCCAGCCTTTGGAGGGGCAACCTGGCAGAGCCCTCGCGGCTGAAGGGCTTCCGTGGATCAACCACAAATCTCCCATTGCCAGGGATTTAGAGCTTAGGGGAAAAGCTCTGAAACACCTGCCACAAGGAGTCAGCCTGCAACCCGGCGAAGGGAGCGGACGCCCCCGCCCCAGCGAACAGCTCCCGGACAGGGCTCCGCTGCACCAAGGGCCACGCACAGCGAGCGAGGGCCCAGCAATGCGTCAGGGTCCTGGGATAACAGCTCGGGAAGGGGCGCGATTCTGATCGGCCAAAGCCCTGCCGTGGACGCAGCTCCACAGCCCTCTAACGGGAGCACTTACGCCCCTTCCACACTGGACCAGCTGCCCTGGTGCCGGCACTTTGATACTGGTACAGCCGACTGCACCGGTGTCACTCCAGCAGGACAGCTCCAGCCGCACACCCTTTAGACGCAGACGAGGCCAAAGTGACGCTGCGTCTACACTACACCGTTCCACCGGCACAGCTGCCGGCTAGGAGCGTCAATCCGGCCCCCCGGCCGACCTCGCTACGCTGGCTAAACCCCCAGTGTAGACGTAACCCTTGGTCGGGGAGGTGGGTAGCTCACGCTGTGTCTCCACAAGGGGCTCTGCCGGCACAGCAGCCGTAGTGCGGACAAGCCCTCTAGACACCTCCCGGCCCCGAGAGCCAGACAACGGGCAGGGAAATGGAAGGATTCGCCCCCAGTTCACAGCTGCGACCCAAGGCCCAGAGCGATTCGGCGACTCACCCGGAACCAGCAATTAAACCCAGTCTCCTGCATGCCAGCCCTGGACTCTGCCTATTGCACCATGCTGGCTCCCCCGCTGGAGAGCACCTGGGGAAGGATGGGCTCAGCCTCTCCCAGCAGAAAACCCTCGGGGGGCAGGAGGCTGGGCAGCCCCAGCAGGGCCGGGAGGACGCAGGGGGCTAGGCCAGGCTGGCTTTATGCATGCACAGGAATCCTGCTGGACCTGCTCGGGTCTTTCTCCCTGTGACAAAGTGGGACTGTTCTTAATGTTTCCTCTGAATACTGTAGGGGTGCCTCGGTTTCCCCTAGGCATTTCTTAAGTCTCTAGGGGGTGGCATAAGGGGGTGTAATTGTTGCAGAGCAAAGGGCCAGGGTACATAAATGGCCAACACTCTGTCTCCTGGCAACTGATGGCCTGGGCCCTTCCCCCCTGCAAGGTGAGAGCTAAAGGGTTGGAGAACAAAGGAATCCCGTGACCTCCTGGCCCGGGAAAGGGACAAAGCCCAGAGGAGGAGGGGCTGGAGGGAGTTTTCAGTTTGGGGCTGGCTGGGGACATGGAGTGAAGTGCAGACGTGGTTGTCTGGCTCATTGCCCCCAAAATGGACCCAGCTGAGGGGTCCTGTTCTCTGCACCTACAAGCTCTGGTTTAGACCATGTTCCTGTCATCTAATAAACCTCTGTTTTACTGGCTGGCTGAGAGTCACGTCTGACTGCGGAGTTGGGGGGCAGGACCCTCTGGCTTCCCCAGGAGCCCTGCCTGGGCGGACTCGCTGTGGGAAGCGCACGGAGGGGCAGAGGAGGCTGAATGCTCCGAGGTCAGACCCAGGAAGGTGGAAGCTGGGTGAGCTGTGTGTCCTGCAGACAGGCAGCTCCTAGAGAGGAGACTTCACCCGAGTCCTGGCTTCATAGGGAGCAGTTCCAGAGCAACGCCCGGGGACTCCATGACACTCCCCATCACCCCAAGGCCCCCTGGCAGCAGGCAGCGCTGCTCCACGGCCCCAGCCGGCTGCCTGGCTGACAGCAGCCGTTCCAGCAGCGCGGGGCTGTGGTTTGGGTCAGAGAGGCAGCTGCCCATCGACCTTCGCCCAGTATGGTGCAGTCACAGCAGCTTCATTCACAGCTGCAGCCTGGCAGGAAGGGAACAGGCCATCTGGGCTGCAGGGAGCTGCCACGCAGATGGGCCTCAGCGCCTCCAAAGCAGCCGGTCTCCTCCCCAGCTTCCCCACAGGGATGCGGCAGGGCAGCCCATTTCTTCCTCCAAGCCAGGCCCGGCGGAGGCCCCTGACCACGGCCGAGACAAACCCACCACACAGCCCTGGCTGGGGGGGTTTCCAAACCTCCCTGCCCAAGAACTATGCATGATTGAGCATGGTCCCTGTGACACTTCCGGGGGGCTGCCCATGTGCTGTTCTCCAACACACACAGCAGGATCTGCCCGGCCAACAGGGGCCAGTGGGGCTGCTCAGAGGAAGGTGCAACCCCTCAGCGGACAATGCCATAAACCCCGCACCTCGTCACGCCCCCCTCCCAGCCCCCACTGGGTTCCTCCTCACACCTGGACAGCCAGCTGGAGCCTGCACCAGGCAAATCTAAGCTACCGGTGTCTCCCTCTCTGGGAGCATCTGCCCCCACAGGCCAGAGCAGGAGGATCCCAGCCATGGGCAGCAGGCTGCACCCTGCCTCTTACAGATCTCTAGGGTCCTCCCCCAGCAATGCCGCGTCTCCCCATGCTGGGTACCGACAGGGATGCTGCAAACACAGCGCTACCGACAGGACACTGATCGGTGGAACAGAGCCAGGAGCCTCACGCATGGCCCCCGGAAAGTGCTGCCCGGACCAGCGCTCGGTTATTTGAGACCCAGCGCTAAAGCCAAGTCACAGGCAGGGAAGCCAGCGTTCCCCTGCCAGCTCCATGCGGCAGTCGAGCCCCGGGGCTGGTCCTGGCAGCAGACACATGAGCAGCCAGCTGGGGGCTAGTCTGGCTTTCACATCAGCAGCTCCACTCTGACTGGACCATGGGGGTCCCCAGCCAAGGGGGGAATCCTGCCTGCCACCTCCTGTGGGGCCAAACAGGCTTCGTATCGGCACGGACACCAGCAGCTCCAGCGCGGATCCGGATACGCCGGGAGCAGCTGCCAGGAGTGGGCTGGGAACCCTCGCACCCCACCGCCTCCTGCGGGCGCTGTTGGACTGACGCAGAGAGGGTCCGAGCCCCTAAACGGCCCCGTTCCACAGCAGGCTCCCCTCAGCCCCACCTCGAGCTAGAGCTGTGTCCATGGGGCACTGGGCGGGTGGGGGCAGAGACTGTGCTTAAAGAGGAGGAGGCGGGAGACCATCATGCAGAGATGAAATCCTGAGGTTGCCCCGCATAGCGACCCGCCCATACAGATGAAGGACTCGCTTCCCCCCCGGCATTTTGCATCCTGCTTCCATGCCTGTTAGAGCCACGGTGGCGCATCACCCCGGCCTGTCACAGCCCCGGCGGGCCAGGGTCCTCCCCAGGCTGCGCCCCTTTGCTGCAGCAGAGCGGGAAGGGCAGGCGAAGGGCTGGGACCAACCCCCTCCCCAACCCTGTCTCCATGCGGAGCGAAGGGTTCCTTCCTCTGCAAGCTTTGCCTTGACTTGGCAGCGCCGTGGCCCTGCAGTGGTGAATCGAGACCGGGCGCCTGGTGCCAGGGACTAACCCCCCTGTTTGCTGATGCTGCTGGCAAGGCAGCGGGAAGCGACTCAGCTCCTGCTGGGCAGGATGTCACCCGGTGGGCGAGCACCACGGCTACTCAGCCTGCCGCTGAGGGAGACACTGGCCTGTGCTCTCCTCCAGAACGGCCACTTCCCCAGACAGCACCTTTCTCCAGGGCTTACCACCCACCCCTCCCACACTGAAGTGCAGCCACCCGGGGGTGCGGGAGGACAGCAGCCAGCGGGCCCCCAGCTCGCTGCACACGATCCCTTCTCCCGAGATCTGTGACATCCCTGTGGGGTCTGTCCCTGCAGCGTGGCCTGCAAAGTGCCTGCCCCCGGGAGATGAGGACTGGCTATTTCCGCCAGCCGCTGTCAAGGCAGACATGTGCTCCTGGAGGGCTCACACCCCCACTGCTTCGCACTAGGGACCCTCACCACTGCACAAACCTGGCTAGGTGTTCAGGGCTCATGGCCTCAAGGCCACAGAGCAACCCGTTGCCCCCACCAACCCCCGCAGAGCCCTGCCCCTCACCCAGACATCTGCAGCCCCTACCCACCCCAGGGGGCAGACAGGGGCAGATTAGGGGTTTGTGGGGCCCTGGGCCAGAGCAAGTGGGGACCCCTCTCCACCCCTTCTGCCTGCAGCCGCTTCCGCCCCACCTGGCACTCCAGCCAGGGAGCAGGGTTGGGGAATGTCCATTTTTCCAGGGCCCCCCAACTGGCTGGAGTCCCTGGGCATGGGCCCCATCGGCCCAGTGGCTAACCCACCACAGGGGGCAGCTGCAGGGCCCAGTCAGATTCCAGGGCTGTGCACGGGATCAGTACTACTGTACCCAGGCACATACGCCCGTCGCAGAGAGGCTGCCAGCCGGTACCCTTACAGCGTGGGGGCGACTGGCTCCGCTCAGCCCATGGGAGACCCCTGGAACGGGGAGCCGGGGCCCGCCATTGGCTGACTGAGCCCACGCCCGCGTCCAGCCCGCTTTCGCTGATGGCGCTGTTCAGCCCGCGAGAAGAGGGATCCGAACCCTTCCCGGAGCAGGCTGGCTCAGCGCCAGACCCAGCCTGTCACTGTCGGGGGGCTGGTTTGCGGGGGGAAGGCTGGAGCAGGGCAAGCATGGTGCAAGCAGACAGAGATGGCCGTAAGCACGGTGCTGCCATGAGGACAGGCCATAGGGTGTTCCACAGGAATGCCCCCCTCCCACACGCTGGCTGCCTGCACCCCATTTATCTCCCTCCTTAGCACAGGGGCTGCTAGCAGGTATAGGCCACCCCCCCCAGGTCACATCTACCCTAAGGATCAGGGGCAGGAGGTCCTGTGACACCAGAGACTCCCAGTATCACAGAGAGGGTGTCGGACAAGGATATGTGACTGACAGCTACCTGCCCTGGAAGGTACTCCAGGCCTCCCATCCCTCCCCAGGGTTCAGAGCCTCCTGGCCAACAAGGATGAGTTGGCAAAATAATCGCCATCGATCAGAGAGAGGCAGGCCTCGCGGCACACGCAGGGAGCCCTGTGTGCCATTCTGCCTCCCCCCGCCCCCATCACTGCACAGACTCTGCTTGGGGGCGGATGGCGGGGGACTTAGTGCTAGTGAAAGGGGACATGCCTGCCCCCAAGGCCAAGTCCCCCCAGGCAGGCACTGCCCTGCCAAGGAACATTTCCCTCCAGGAGCCCCCTGCTCAGAAAGGAGCCAAAGCGACACCCCCAAACCATCTCCGTCCATGGGCTGAAAACCTGAACGACCCCCCCAGGCCCGATCCTGCAATCGGAGCCACACCGGTCCATGGATCTGCTCCCACTGCTCCCATTACAGGATCGGGGCCCACCGGGACAGCCAGGCTGCAGAGGAATGCCGGGGACCGACGTCCGTGGCTTAAACGCTGCCCTTTCCCACCACCAAGCGCCTGTCACTGGATTAGCCGGCGCTATTAGTGCGGAGTTTCCACGGTAACAGCGCCCTCAGTTTCTAAAGTTAACACTTCGCTTCTTTGAAGAATCAGCAACCCCGTCGCGCCTCAGCTACCTGCCTCAGGCCAAGGCCCCGAGATCCGCCCCACGCTGTGCGCGGCACTGCTGGGAGACAGCCCCTGCCCCGCAGCTCTCACACCCAAAGGGGGGCAGGGACACAGTCGTTCTGGCCCACGCCCCGCAGGACAAAGCCACTGACCCACCTGGCCAAAGGTGGAAGGCACCGAGGGCGTGGCCCTGTAAGCGCCTCCACGCAGACCCGCCCGCAGGATCAGCGCTCACATGCCGGCTCTAACCTAGCCGCTAGGACCCAGCGATAGGCTGAACCTCGTCCTGGCGAAGGGCCACGGTCGGGCTCATGGACGTTCACGCCTGAAGGGACCGGTCTGATCATCCAGCCCAGCCCGGCCCGAGGCCCTCTCTCCTTGTGCTGCAGAACGGCAGTCGCGCCCCCCGCTCTACAGAAGCTGGGTCCCGGTTCCAGAACCTCCTGGGTTAAAAGCCACCATGTAGTTGCAGGCTCAATTCCCAGCACCTCTGGGGGTGTTTCCAGCATGTTTTTTAAAGCCCCGATCGAATTTTCACCGTGAACACCACCTGGCCTTTTTGCCACGACAGGAACTAGACCGGTCAGTCTCAGGTTTATTTACAGTCAGTTTCACTTTCCAGTTGCCTTAATGAGGTTGGAGAGGCAGATATTGCAGGGGAAGCTTTAGACAAAACCCTTTTTTATTTTAAAAACATTTCTATGAACATCAGGATTTGTATAAATATTTATACATAAATAAATATTGACCGAGCACCATCAACTGTATGCTAAGTATCCATTAGATCATTTATACCAATATATTTGATATTTGCTTTTACACACACATCCGGAGCCTGGGTATGCACATGTACACATCCCAAAAGAGGGTGCACACACCGCTCTCTGCATCTGACTGTTCAGATCACGAATACAAGCCCACAGGGACAGGTCAGGCCCAGCATGTAGGCATGTTTCAAATAAAGCAAAGATGTTATGACATCCGACAGTCATAGAAATGTTCCGGTACACAAGAGGTCTTTCCTACTGGGATGTGACAAAAATTCACTTGTGTCTGGTGCTGAAACGCATCAGAAGGGATCAGAACCCTGGAGACCAAGGGCTTGCTGGAGCAGCCGGCCTGTTGGCAGGGCAGCAGCCAGCCTAGGAATCACTGCGGGGTGGTGGCAGACAGCCGGGGAGAAAGGAGAGGCACATACCGGCCTTCGCTGCCGTAGGGAGCCCTTCCCAGGGGGCTCGAGCAGCCTGCAGCAGGGCCAACGCTCAGCAGGGGAGCGGGCGCCCAGCTGTGACACACAGCAGCTGTCCGACATGCTGACCGCGTGTGCCAGCCACCCTGGCTGCCCTGGAGCAAGCTGGACAGCAGCAGCCCCAGCGCCGCCAGCTGCCCAGGGCCTGCCCGCAGGGGAGCGTGTGCCCAGCCCCCCGCCCGCCGAGAGAGGCTGCAGCCACTTACTTGTAGGTGAGGCCGTCGGCGATGGCAAAGAGCTGCTGGGCCGTGAGGCCATCCTCAGGGACGTAGCCCGTGCCCCCGCTGATCAGGTAGTCAGCCATGCTGCAGGGAGAGGGGCAGAACCGTTAGCATGGGCACAGCACCCGCCCGCAGCCCCGGGGACAAGTGCCACAAGCCTGGGGGAGCAGGGGGCCGGGCCCAGGGAGGCTGGCTCCTACGGGCATGGGCTGGGTACCGCCTGGGGGCACTGCCAGGGTGGGGAGCCGCACCCCCGGGGTGGGGGTAGGGCCACACCCGGCCGGGCGGGCTGCAGGGAGAGAGCCCCAGCCCCAGGCGGCCTACAGGGAACCCTGCGCCCCAGCTCCGACCCCCAAGGGGGGGACCCGCGCGCGCCCCAGCTCCGACCCCCAAGGGGGGGACCCGCGCGCGCCCCAGCTCCGACCCCCAAGGGAGGGACCCGCGCGCGCCCCAGCTCCGACCCCCAAGGGGGGACCCGCGCGCGCCCCAGCTCCGACCGCCAAGGGGGGGACCCGCGCGCGCCCCAGCTCCGACCCCCAAGGGGGGGACCCGCGCGCGCCCCAGCTCCGACCCCCAAGGGGGGGACCCGCGCGCGCCCCAGCCCCTGCGCCCCGCCCCGGCCCCGCGCCGCGCCAGGGCTGCAGCCGGGGGCGCCGCGCACCTTGGCGGCGGGGGAAGCGCGGAGCCCGCAGCGGGCAGGCCCGGGACCCGCCGGGCCGGAGCGCAGGGCGGGCCCGCGGCTCGGCGGCTGCTCCCGGCGCACACGCAGGGCCGGGCCCGCCCCGTGGGGGAGGCGCAGGGCGCCGCGCACGGAGCCCGCCCCGCCCGCGCTGCCGGATCCCGGACCATGCCCGGCCCGCGGCGCCCCGCGCTCCGCCCGCAGAGACCCGGCAGCGGGGCCCGGCCCCGTGCAGCGCCCGGGGAGCCGGGCCGGGCTTGGCCGCGTGCTGGGGGCTGCGGACGCGCCGCCCAGCGCCCCCCGACCGTCCTTCCCCCTGGCGCCGCCCGAGCCGGTACCTCGCGGGCTCCCCCTCGCCCATGGCCCGGCCCGGGGCTCCTCCGCGGCCGCCGCTGCCTGCAGGCTGCTCGGGCGCCCTCCACGCGGCTGGCCCGGGAGGGAGACGCGGCTGGAGGCAGGGCCGGGGGTGGGGGAGAAGGCACCAGCCCGGCCCACGCTGGCAGGCGGCCAGGGAGGGGAGCCAGGCCTGCCCCTGTGTGCTGAGGCCGCCGTGGGCACGCAGGATGGAGAGGCCAGCGGCAGCCGGCCGAGCCCCCTCCTTACCCAGCCCCGAGCGGCCCCGCGGCTCCAAACGCTGCATTTGGCCAGGCCTCGTCCGGGCAATGCGCAGGGGCCACACCTGGGCTCGCCTCCCTAACCTGCGCCGACAAGCCCAGGCGCTGGGACGTCCTGCAATGCGCCCGGTGCACCCGGTGTGACGAAGCGGGACTGTTCTTAAGGTTTCCTCTGAATAGTGTGGGGGTGCCTCAGTTTCCCCTAGGCAGTTCTTAAGTATCTGGGGGTGAGATAAGGGTGTATGGTCACTGCAGAGCCCTAGAGAGCAGGTATCTGCAGGGGTCTGGACACACAGAATGGCCGACACCCTGTTTCCTGGCAACTGATGGCCTGGGCCCTTCCCCCCCTGCAAGGTGAGACCTGAAGGGTTGGAGAACAAAGGAATCCAGTGACCTCCTGGCAGGGGAAAGGGACAAAGCCCACAGGAGGAGGGGCTGGAGGGAGTTTCAGTTTGGGGCTGGCTGGGACATGGAGTCAAGGGCAGACGGGGTTGTCTGGCTCACTGCCCCCCAGAATGGACACAGCTGAGAGGTCCTGTTCTCTGCACCTATATGCTCTGTTTTAGACCATGTTCCTGTTGTGTAATAAACCTTCTGTTTTACTGCCTGGCTGAGAGTCACGTCTGACTGCAGAGTTGGGGTGCAGGACCATCTGGCTTCCCCAGGAGCCCTGCCTGAGCAGACTCGCTGGGGGAAGCGCACGGAGGGGCAGAGGAGGCTGAATGCTCCGAGGTCAGACCCAGGAAGGTGGAAGCTGTGTGAGCTGTGTGTCCTGCAGACAGGGTTCTCCCAGGAAGGAGACTTCCCCAGAGTCCTGACTGGCTTCGTAGGGTGCAGTTCCAGAGCATCGCCCAGGGACTCCATGACAACTGGTTCACTTTAGCCAGTGATCTGGGGAAGTTCGAAGCCACCAACGTTCCCATGGATGCCCCAGCATCTCTCCCATTCCTTGGTGGGAGTTACACCAGGCCCTTCCAGTTTCACACCCTCCCTTAGGTCAGGGGTGGTCGATAGCACTCACAGGCCGCAGGTGGGAAGGTTTATGCGGCCCGTGCCCTTTGGCCACCCCCAAAACTCCAGGGGGTCAAACTGGGATTGGGTCTTCTCCCCAACAAGCTGGCCAAACACAGCCACTTGGTTATAGGAAGAAAAGGAGTCCTTGTGGCACCTTAGAGACTAACCAATTTATTTGAGCATGAGCTTTCGTGAGCTACAGCTCACTTCATCAGATGCATAAAAGTGGAAAATGCAGTGAGGATGTTTTTATACACACAGATCATGAAAAAATGGGTGTTTATCACTTCAAAAGGTTTTCTCCCCCCACCCCACTCTCCTGCTGGTAATAGCTTATCTAAAGTGATCACTCTCCTTACAATGTGTATGATAATCAAGGTGGGCCATTTCCAGCACAAATCCAGGGTTTAACAAGAATGTGGGGGGGGGGGGGGGGAGGAGAGGGAGGAAAAAACAAGGGGAAATAGGTTACCTTGCATAATGACTTAGCCACTCCCAGTCTCTATTCAAGCCTAAGTTAATTGTATCCAATTTGCAAATGAATTCCAATTCAGCATTCTCTCGCTGGAGTCTGGTTTTGAAGTTTTTCTGTTGTAATATCGCAACTTTCATGTCTGTATTCCCGTGACCAGAGAGATTGAAGTGTTCTCCAACTGGTTTATGAATGTTATAATTCTTGACATCTGATTTGTGTCCATTTATTCTTTAACGTAGAGACTGACCAGTTTGACCAATGTACATGGCAGAGGGGCATTGCTGGCACATGATGGCATAGATCACATTGGTGGATGTGCAGGTGAACGAGCCTCTGATCGTGTGGCTGATGTTATTAGGCCTTGTGATGGTGTTCCCTGAATAGATATGTGGACACAGTTGGCAACGGGCTTGTTGCAAGGATAGGTTCCTGGGTTAGTGGTTCTGTTGTGTGGTATGTGGTTGCTGGTGAGTATTCGCTTTAGGTTGGGGGGTTGTCTGTAGGCAAGGACTGGCCTGTCTGCCAAGATCTGTGAGAGTGATGGGTCGTCCTTCAGGATAGGTTGTAGATCCTTGATAATGCGCTGGAGAGGTTTTAGTTGAGGGCTGAAGGTGACGGCTAGTGGCGTTCTGCTATTTTCTTTGTTAGGCCTGTCCTGTAGGACTGTTTAACTTTCTTAACAGCTTTCACTTCATCTGAGACCTTCTCAAAGCTCTCCACACTGGATCTTTCAACAGGACAGTCAGTGGTCCATTCACAACAGAAAATTTCTGGCTGTTAGGAACTGAAGCTTTCTTGATTAAATCACTTTCACACCCTTCAGTGGCAGTAAACTGCTTACAAAGACTCCATGAGGATTCCTTTCCCTAGGGCTTGTCTATGCAACAATTCACCCCTCACAGAAATTCTGCTCTTACTCTCTTTACCTAAGGCTTGCTCTAGAGGAACACTTTCCTGAGCAACAACAGACTCTTTCTGGGTCTCCCTTACATCCAGAATTACCTCTGGTCCATCCGGGGATTCCTACACAATCCCCTTTCAGGCAAACTGATAGACTTCCTATATAACAGGTCAGAAGCATTCTCCTTTCCTTTGCCACACACAAGTTCAGGAACTTTTTCCTTCTTGCTACAGGTTTCCACACCCTCAGTAGGTAACACAATCACATCACCTTCATGCTCTCCTTGTGCCCTGGCTAGGATCTCACCCTGATTAGACAGAGTTCCTCCACCCTTTCTCAGCCACACACTAGCAACAGGCAAAATACAAGCACCAGAATTGTCTGATCTCTGGGATTTTACATAGACACTAACTGGATGTGACCTAGTTACAGTGCCATTCTCCAGAGCAGACACAAACTTAGGACCCTTCCCTTCCTGGGCTTTAGCTGGATCCAGAACCAGCTCTGAGACAACTGCACGACCCTCAACCATCACAGGCTGAAAGGCCCCTTCTGTCTGCTCCACAGGCAAAGAAGAGCCGGACACACTTTCTCCTTCCCCAGACACACAGCTTGGGATCTCATTCCCCTTGTCCCAGCACACAAGGCTGGTCACAGACAACTGCTTGGAGATCAGGGTAGCTCCCTCCATAGGCAATCAATACCCCTGACAGACACAGACACATTTCCTTCCCTGTCGCAATTCTCCATCCAGCTAACAGGTAAGGTCCAGGGACACTCATCTTCCACTCTCCTCGGCTTCCCACCTGTGACGAAGTGACTCAGCAGGGAGGGGGGAGTGTTGACCTGGGAATGTGCCCTGGGGATGGGAGACCTGAGAGCCTGTCACCTGAGCCAGGAGGGGGAGGGGGAGGTGACACCTCTGCCCAGGAATGTGAACAGAGGCTGCAGCAGGGAACCTGCTGGGTGGGGTTAGTTGGCAGTTTGGGAGGCTGGGGAGAGGAACACAGGGAACCCCAGGGCTGGGGTCTAAGCTCCCTGCTCCCCCAGAAGGACGTGATTGAGGGGTCCTGGTTGTACCCACAAGCTCTGTTGTGGACTGTGTTCCTGTTGTCCAATAAACCTTCTGTTTTACTGGCTGGCTGAGAGTCTCAGTGGATCCCAGGAAGAGGGGTGCAGGGCCTGGACTCCCCCACACTCCGCGACACCACCCTGCTGACTAGACACAGCCATCAGCTCACAAGGCTGCCTAGGCTCATCCAGACTTTCCTTACCAAGCACCTTGCCACTCCCCACAGATCCCCTGCCCTGCCTGTGTCTCCCCCCACTCAGCTGGGGTCTCAGCTCCCACTGTGCTCAGCGCTGCCCTTGCTGTCCCAGTGGGGTAGGCAGCGAGCTCGCTGCTTTCCTCACTGCATCAGAGCCAGCTGAGCCCCCTCTCCAGTGTGCAAGGGGGGCGGGGAGCCCCAGGGGTCTGGTCACAGGCAGGCAGGTAGCCTGAGCCCAGCAGCTCCTCCCTGCTGCCAGCCAGGTCATCTGCATTTTCACTGACCATTTCCCTCTCCACCGATTGGTTCCCTGGATTCAAATTCAAACCCGGAGCAGGGCCTGGATCCTGTCCCAAAGAGACACAGTCACCCCACAACAGGGTCTCGCAGCTGGTGTCCTGGAGAACCCCAACGACCAGCCAGCCCCACCCCTACTGGGTCTGCACAGGGATCTGGGCCATAGGCAGGGCGAGGGGCTTCGTCCCTGGGACCCTCAACCAGCTCACCCAGCCCCTCAGCATCTGAGGCTGCACCACCCAGGGCCTGACACCAGTTCTCTCTGTCCCCAGATCTCACCACCCCGGGAATGTCTCCCCATTGACCATCACCTTCCGCTCCCCCTGGAGGTCCGAGGGGCCCGACCCCAGGAGACTCCACACAGACAAATAGGTTGGGGGCAGGAGTGGGAGCCTGTCCACCTCCCCACCCATCTGGCTGACGGAGTCTATGTCCTTGGGACCCAGCAAGGGAGCTAGACACCGGGGCTTTTCCGCAGGGTCCCCCTGGTTCAAATCTTCAGCCTGCTCAAAGGCAGTGAGGTGGCATCCACATCCCCCCCCTCCTTAACCAGGGGCAGCAATTTAGTCTCGAGGTTCCCTGTGGAACTGGGCCCCCAGGGTCTATCCCCACTCACCCGGGGGAAGTCCCCTAGGCCTCTCCACTCCACCACCGCCAGTTCATGCTTCTGCAGCTCTTTCTCGGGCTCTCGCTGTCTCTCACAGTCCTCTTGCTCTCTCGGACTCAGCTCCAATCCCATCCGTCTCCGATCCCCGGATGGGGAACCCGATCGTGAAGACCCTCGTCTGGTCGGGGACAGGAGTCTTGGGGATGCCTGGCTGCCACTCCAGCTGCTCCCAGATCCTGCTATAGCCCCATTTGGGGTCAGGAATCTGTCCCTGAGAGCAGTCATCCTCCTCCAGCTGCACGATGAACTGTGCTTTGGTGAACTTTCCAATGCTCAACCCTCTCTTTCTGCACAGAGTTACAATGTCCTTCTTAAGGAGACGGTGACAGGCCATCACTCCGCTCTTCCCAAGTTGTTGTGTACTCACAGGCCTGTGTGCTCTCAGCTCCCCACGGTTTCCAGGGAGAACCCCTAGTGTGCCAGCCCTTCTCGAGGTCACCACCTCTTTGCCAGGGTCGAGCTGCAGACTCCTCCAACCCGGGACCACTCGCTGCAATCCCCCGGGGGACCCTGTTACT